ACTGGTGAAATCATTCAGATACAAATAAAGAGGAAAGTAATAATAAAATATTGATTAAAAAAGAAAATATAATTAAATAAGCATTATATCAAACTAAGCGAGAGAAAGAATGAGCAGATAAATCGATTGATTGATCGATTGATGATCGATCGATGAGCAGATACTTAAATGATAAACACAAGTTAGAAATGGGTTGGAAAGTTTCTTTTAGTAATTTCATGATGAAGTACTTGCAGTTGTGTTTCAATGCATTGAAACTTGTTGTGAAGCGATGTCTCTTTCTATGCTAATTTGCTCCTGTAAGGCTTAACATTGAAATTCATTGAGATAAAAGCGTGACAATGAAAGAACAAAACTGGTGAGATAAAATTACAAATAGCAAAGGCAATGATGGTTCAAAAAACTGTATGCATCTTCTCATCTATCTCTTGCATACACTAATGTATTTGTGACGAATTTGTTTTAGTTATAGAATATTTGTCCATGCGTATGTATTAGTAGCATATCAGGTGACATATGTTGATCACTGTAAGTATATGACACTTCCATGGGAATGTTTCATGATGCGAACACCGATTACTTTGACATTGCTCCTAAATGCAACTTCGATACCTGCAATAGTTATTGAGAGAATTGTTGCCACGTATTTTTCATCTAGATATGAAAAATTTGGCAAAAGTATCGCTGTTATACTTGTCATAGGACAGGTGCGAAGAAGAATTTCAATTTATTTTCAATCTTTGATGCAAATTCAATTTAATATTTTCATGTTTTAAGATAATCAAAAACTTGAAAATATTATGTAACCTGAATTTTGACTCTGTTATATGTAAATGAAATGTATAAAGTCGTCTAATAATTTGGGTGAAGAAATGATGTAAAGAGACATTACCGATTCTTTGAGAGTGGCCAAGTGATAACTTTAAAATACTTCAATACCTAACATGAAATAGTAGCCTTCAATACTGATAATATTTTAAAACTACTTTATAATTTTAATATTTCAGTTAGCCATTGGTATTGGAAGTTTTCTGTTTGTTGTTAGCAATTTTAAAATATTCGATACGGAAAAAGTGGTTTACTGTTGAACAGCTAATGAAGGCAACACACTAAAATCTGCTATCATTTTCGGCTTTTATATGACCATCGATCTGCTTTCTGCTTTAGCCTTTCCAGTTTTATTTTACATTAATGAGGAAATTTTTTCCATTTTCTAATTATAAATACATCCACTAACAGATTAATAATTGACTGGCTGATTGATGTAAATGCTACTTTAATCTAAATCTTCCATGGGAAATTGTCGCCAAGTCGTACATAGCTGTCATACGAGATCTGTTTAATACATTGAACAGATATTCGTGTGACTGTAGTTTTATAAGAGGAAAACTGAATTGGGAACATGAGAATATAACAAGTAAATGTTGGAGACTCAGACAGGTTAAAGATTAAATTAATACTGGCTGTGTATTTTCGCCCTATTACCTCAAACATATTCTTGACATGAACTATGACATCGCTTCGATCAACATTAACTCTCTCAGAAGAATGGGTAAGAATTCCAGTAGGTATAAAGGAATAATTTTATCTTGTTGGAATTAGCATTCAGAAATAAGCTATAAACAAAGACTGTCTCTTAATTATCTTTTTCCTACACTTTACCTGTTTATGTTACAAATCAGAGATTTCATCGTAATAAATTTCAGAGATTTCAGCGAAACAAAATTCATGTCAACCTATCACATCGTTATCAAATCATGGAAAATATACATTCCCTTCAAACTTTATCACCAATGGTGGCATTTCATTCTTTGTTTCTGGCATTTTATCTGGGCGCACTGTTTTTTTACTTCGTTATCGACTTCAAATTCTCCCCAAAACAATTCGCTATCTATCTGGAAAGTTCGTTTCCTCTTTCACAGTTCTAATCGTGATTCGAGTTTTTCTATTAGTAAAGTTTTTCTAATCTTCTAAAATAAAAAAATTCATGGACGAATGTAAGTGTACAGGAATGAAATAGAATTGGAATTAAAATAAGTTTCATGAAAAAAAAAGAAATTATGAAAAACATAAAAGTAATATCAAATTTAAACACAGAATGGTACTACAAACTATATATAATTAAATGAAATTAAAAATAAAGAAAACTAATCTT